TTGGTGCTTCCTATATTGATGTGTATGCTTGATTCTTTTAAGTACCAACACACACTACTAAGAAAGCAGTAAAATTCTTCCATCAGTCCCTTACTGTCAGCGTCCCTAGAGTACATTTGGCACTGTGGAGGTTCCTGGTATCTCTAGAACTATTGAAGTGACAGTATCTTACCAAGTGGAATTTTATGGCACTGATGTAAGCAACGTGCTTTGGACAACTTCGTTGTATATTTCTGCTGGTCTATGGAAAAAGCTGCTGATGCTTTAATTTGTTTCATTCTTTTTTTTCAATTATTTATACTTCTTCTCTTCTTACTTCTTATATATTTCTTTCATTTTTTTCTTTATATGCATATGTCTGATAATATGAATAACTGGTTGAAAGACAATACTATGTATTCCAACAAATACTATGAAATTCATATTACTTTGTTAAGTGAAAATCTGTGTCACTTGTACTTTTTTCTGTTTTAATTCTCACTTGTACTCTTCAAAACATAAATAATAATAATAAAAAAGAAAGACAAGTATATAAATTACCTTTTGTAAGTGAGAGAATGTGATTAGATCATAAATAAATCTGCTCAATTCCAATGTGTTCAGCGGGAGAGCTACTTTTCTGTCCAGTTACTGAGAACTTAAATTGATATATCCTTGAACACATCCTTTCAAAAGATTAACTTGAGGAAATAACGAAGAATTAAGATATGTAATATAGACATTCCAGCTCTCCACGACTACCAGTTATGCACTATCACTATATACTAATGCAAATTTTAAAAATTACCATTCCTAATTTTAAGGAAGCTCTCCCAAAATCTACTTCCTTAATATTAGTTCTGCATGTCTGTGGCTAAGCAGTATTTATTGGAATTGCACTTTAATAAACAGAATCTCAAAAGATGAGCTAATTTGCTCTTCTGTTGTAGTGTGGAGACAATCAATGATGGAAACTTTCACATTGTGGAGCTGCTTGCGTTGGACCAGAGTCTGTCTCTCTCTGTGGATGGAGGAAGCCCCAAAATCATCACCAACTTGTCGAAGCAGTCCACTCTGAATTTCGACTCTCCTCTTTATGTAGGAGGTAAGCTTTCTTCTAAAATCAGTGGCTCCCCAAACAGGATGGTGATTCTCATCATCAACTAATGCTACTAATTGCTGCCTGGTGTCATTGCCATTGACTAAGAGACATGTATCACAGAAAGACAAGCAACATAAGAACAGAGAGAGTGCCAGGTAGGGGTTAAGGGAACATTTTGTAATCCTGACTGAGTTAAATTAAAGGTGTTACTGGAATAAAGAAGATCAGTTAGTATTTGCTTTTTGTCTAACACCTGTTGACTGATTTACTCAGCATATCCCTGAATTTCACATTTATTTGGTCTATTAAAGAAGAAAAACTGTTAATAGTTAAACTAGACAGCAAAACAAGCTAATATAAACAGGGCAGGTGATGACCCCACCCCGGCTCCCGTAAGGAGGCCAATGCCAGCTCCCTCAAATGTCATCTAGCTGGAGCTCCTGCACCACCAACTGCTCATTCACGAAGATGATAGGATAACTATCTGTGAAATTCAAGTAAATAATCAGATTCTATTGAGCTCGAAAGAAGAACTGCTTTGCAATGTCCTTAAAATGAATGAACACCAGAGAAGACTGGAAAGGGAGGTTAAGGTTGTAAATGATGGAGTGAAGATGCTTGCCTTTATTTTTGAGCAACAAGAAAGAACATGAGTTAGCAGATGAGGGAAAGAAGTAGAAGGATTTTTTTTTAAAGAATACCAGAAGAAAAAACTTACAAAGAGCAAGAACTCAGGGATGGCCAAATAGCTCAGCAGATAAAAGCACCTGCAAGCAGGAGCAAGGACAGCCAGGGGTTCGGTTCCCTGGCTGGTCAGGCTTGCCTGCCCCTGTTGTGTGCTGAGAAGGCAATGGAGACTGAGCATGGGCGTGGTGGCATGTGCCTATAGTCCCAGCTCCTGAGGGCTGTAAATAGGCAGATCACTATGAGTCCAATCTATTAGTGAGACCCTGAACACCCTGTAGACCCTTCCTTAAAATAAAAAAAGAGCAAAAGCTCACTCTTGCCTCCATCAGGAGGAGCAAAAGGAGCAAGAATGCCAATGATGTTACATTGAGGTACATATAAGTGAGTTACATTACCTGAGTTGACAAAATTAATTCATTGTATAAGTGAATACTCTGAAGCCCTTAACGGGTCAATAAACCTGACTTCTTTATCCTGACAACAGAAAATTCGCATAATTCTTTGCAGAATTGTAATGTTAGAGTGCAGTATCATTGTGTCAGCCTCCCCGAAGCCTTCACTGAAGGCATTCTTTGGGATAGTTCTCCAGGCCCAGAATGTTTCTATTTTTAATAATTTCAATATTAGAAAATTGTAACACTTTTGTAGGGCTGCAATTTGTAGAAACAGCTCAGGATTTCCTATAAATATGTATATAGCACCTATGATAAGCTAGGAATAAAGATAATGAAGAACATCGATGCCTCTTCTGCTCCCAGCAAATTAAAGAACCTATGCGCTTCTTCGAGTAACCGTGCACAGTGCATTGGGATTGAAGCTCATGATGAGTCTCCTCAGCAAGTTGGCTTATCTGATTGCTTCATGGAAATCACAACAGAAACTCATTTTTTAAAGAAGAAGAAGAAGAAAAAGCAAACCTCTCCATTTTTCCTTGTGCTGTAGTTAACAGCTGTGGCATGGGTGAAACGGTCCCCAGTGAACTTGTGACTTGAAGTAAAAGAAATTCTATGTACTGAGCAGCTCATACGTGCCTGATCCACTGCGTCTTTTGCAGTCGTAATCCTCAGGCACCTGAAGAGGTAGATCACATTTTCCATTCTGCAGTCCCTCGGGGGGCAGCCTCGGGGACTCTATAACACTAATCGAGGCTCTTTGTGGCAGTGGTGGATTCCTTACTTATGCCTGAGCCTGACTCCAAAGCCACCGGCTGCCACTCACCTCTTAACAAACAGGACAAAGCTAAGCAGTCTACACTGTGTGGCTTTCGGTCGCTTAGTTCTAGATTTTGCTTCACTTGATGTTATAATGCTTTCATTAGAAACCGTTTTATTTTACAATGTGATGGAAAAATATAAAAATAAGCATTAAATACAGGCTGAGATTGCTTAGGTCAGAACATATTTTTAGAGGGAAAAACAGTTTTAAACATCAAATTGGAAAGCTCTAATGCTTCTGAGAGTGGAGGGATTGGAAGAATCCAAACTGTACCTCCGTCTACCCAGGCCTGAAGGAAACCGCCTTCTTCAGAGTCTCACTGCCGGGGGACGCCCTGGGCCCTCTGCCTTCCGGCTCAGGGAACAGTGCGGTAGCAAGAGTGATTAAGATTTCATGAGCACAAGGAAGCTGTGAGACCACAACCCTGAGTCCGCCTCACAGAGGCAGAAGGGGCTGAGTCAGCCAAGGGAAGTGCGTCAGCAAGGCTAGTGTGAAGACAGGGCCCCTAAGGAGACCTGCCCCAAGCTGCTGCATGCTGGCCCTCAGCCCGTGCAGGTGTGCTCTCAGGCGGACGGACCAGAACTCAGCCCATGTTGGGGTGTTAGTTGTCCCTCACGCAGTGTTTCTACAGCACCGGAGAATTGGTTGCCTAATTGTGGGGTTAAGTCTAATAAGATGCAGACAGACATAGAGAAATGGCCATAAATTACAGACCTTCTCCCAGTGCTGCCATTAGACAAAAGATCTAAGTGCAGTGTTGACACTTGGCTCGTTTCATGTCATTTTGGGGCATGCAGAGTCTCTTAAAGCTCAAAACTATCTATTAAGTTATCTATTGGTTCATTGAACTTTTTAAAAATTCTCTTACATAGAGAAAGAGATTTGCAAAAATCATTCATCTACTTTTATTTATCTATTAGGATGCAGTTTCCTGGGCCTGGGAGAGTGCCTGGGAGAGTGCCTGGCAAGTGCAGGGTCCTGAGTTCAATCTTCAATCCCTGGTACCTCAAAACAAACAAACAAACAAAAGACACAGTTTCCTAACCAAGCACATGAAAAGGTTGGTCAGACTAGTTCTTGGTTGGGAGTACTGCTCAGTAATAAAGCACAGACTTAGTAAGCATGAACAGTCATGAAGCCTTGAGTTCAACCCGTAGCATCAAATAATAATAATAATAATAATAATAATAATAATAATAATAATAATTCAAATAACTGACATGTTCAGAATACTTCCTGGTTATATATCCTGTGCAAAGTCCTATATATCTATGATGCATAAAACATTGTCATTTATAAATTACTGTCATCAAACTCAGACCTTTCTATGTGTGTGTGTTAGGGCCATAAAGCACACACTTACACACTGTCTTTTCCAGCTGTGGGACTTTGTGTTTAGTCTTGGCATCTGCACAGGTGGGCACGGCACCTCCAGCAAAATAAACTAGTCAAAACAGTTTTGGGAGAAGTTCATTTTCAACCTCTGGCTAAAGGATCATAAACATGTAGATGTTCAAGCCCATGTGTTTGTGATGATGGAAGAAAATAATTGTTAGAATGACTTATGCAGAGCAAAAACTTTCTTGTCACATGCCCTTTTCTGAAAGTGACTGGATTGTAATGACCCAGTTGCCAAGGTCAGATAGACACACTCTGGAAGGCTATACTTAAGGAACTTCAAAGCCAAGGTGCGTAACTCGGCACTTGTCCAAGTGTGACCATGGACCACCTGCATCAGAAACAACTACTTTGCATTTTGACATGAAGTTTCTGCACCTATCCCATACCCTACAGGATCAGAACTACAGGATAGGGAGAGATTTGGCTAGCTGCCTTGCGAGCCCACACCACAGGTGGTCCTTATGTATGACGAGCTGTGGTCTATGTGCTCATGATACAGAGAACCCTAAGCCCCAGAGAAGGGAAACGACTGGGTCAAACACACTCAAAACCAAAATTAAACACTTGACATATTGCCTGGTGCTTTTGTGCCTGACTTTGGTGCATGCAAAGATCCAAAGGTTGTTCCTTTGATAAGAAAGAGGACAGCACACATAGCAGGACCCCAGATGCTGTGGTTGTTGACATCTATCACCACAGAGGCCACCAGAGGATGTGTGCCTGGGCTCCCAGCCCAAGTCCTACAGCCAGTCGCTCAGAGTCCAGGCACAGCTGGGGCATGAGCAGCAAGGTCACCTGCTCTGAGGGCCTCCAGTGACCTGGGTGGTTGCCTTCTGTGGGACGCCATCCAGGAACTATTTCAGGGTCTGGCTCAGGCCATGGAAAGATTCTTCAGCTTTGCCAAAATGAGAATTACCAAACAACTGCCACTAGTGGAATGTATTTCCGCCAATATGGAATTCTGTTTGTGAATGAATTTCTTTTGTATTCCTGGTGTTTTGGGGTATGAAATTTTTGCTCTCAATTTAGCAAGAAAAATACATGATGTAGATGAGGTGCTGGCCTGATAAGAAGTCGGGCTGGACTTTCCAGGCACTGACACCCCGGAAAGCTGGAGGTGCACTGAATTCCTTGCTAGTCTGGAATCTCCAGGGACCAGAGGGGGTAGTCACTGTGAGCCTTTGCTCTAACTCCTTGGAGTTCGGTGAACTGAACCTTGGCTAAAAGACTGGGGAGGCTCCTCTCATAAGTCTCACTGTAACCTGAACTTGCTGGGTGTCACCGGCGGTGCCTTCTGTGCTCTGAGTCCAGGCCCTTCCTCATTAAAATCAGGGGGACAATAAAAGGCCAAATACCGTGCTTTGTTGAACTGCAGCCTTCCCAAGGGGCCTGTGGTCTGCAGTGAGGGAGCCAGACAGGAAAAACTCATCCCACTCCAGCCACCAGGCTGTAGTAGTTCTGGTTCTAGGCTTTATACTTGATCATATCTCTGCAAAAGTTTGTTTGAAAGAAATTTAAAGACTAAATATTGACTGCCGTTGAACTTGGCTTCTTATTCTAACTGTGTATTATTAATTCCTGGAACTTCTTCCCCAAACAAACAAAAAAGCACATCTTCTTTCTCCCAGCTCTCCCTTACCTGAGATACCTGAGTTAGTGGGTTCTAAGTGAGATCCCAAGCAATGATATTTCTGGGTCATAAATAGCTGGGGGACCCTGTAGACAGCCTGACCTGTTCCATGCTGCCCCTCTCCAGGCATGCCTGGGAAGAACAATGTGGCATCTCTGCGCCAGGCTCCAGGGAAGAATGGCACTAGCTTCCATGGCTGCATCCGGAACCTTTACATCAACAGTGAGCTGCAGGACTTCCGGAAGGTGCCCATGCAGACTGGCATTCTGCCGGGCTGTGAGCCGTGCCACAAAAAGGTGTGTGCCCATGGTATGTGCCAGCCAAGCAGACAGTCAGGCTTCACCTGCGAGTGTGAAGAAGGATGGATGGGCCCTCTCTGTGACCAGCGGACCAATGACCCTTGTCTTGGAAATAAGTAAGTTTGATCTCCCTGAACACATCAGCTCAAGCCCCACAAAAGTAGGGAGGAAATTAGAGGGAGGGAACGAGGGAAATAAACCAGCCAGTGAGCACTCTGCCCCTTATCTCACCTCTTCTGGATGTACATTCATTCCTGTGTCCCTTCACCTTTAGATGTGTCCATGGCACCTGCCTGCCCCTCAACGCGTTCTCCTACAGCTGTAAGTGCCTGGAGGGACATGGAGGTGTCCTTTGTGATGAAGAGGAAGACCTGTTCAGCCCTTGCCAAACCATTAAGTGCAAGCACGGGAACTGCAGGCTCTCAGGACTGGGGCAGCCCTACTGTGAATGCAGCAGCGGGTACACTGGGGACAGCTGTGATCGAGGTAAGGTACCCAATGTGAAAGAGCCTCAGCTCTCGCCATTCCACAGGTCCTTGAGAGAGCTTGTCACAGCTTGATTTGCTGTGCAATTTCTCCTTTTCACCCTTTGATGGAAGGACGTTTCTCTTCCTTCCCTGTTTCCTTCACCTGCTGGTCTCATCCCCATTATTTATTCAGCTTGTGGCCCAGAGAAGATGCCACTGGTAATGCTGCTCGGGTTTTGCACACAATCACCCTTGACTTTAGAACGGATAGATTTGTCGCAGCGCATTAGCCAGGTGAGGGGGATGGAAAGACACTGACGTTTTGGCCCAGCGCTCCTTCTTCCTTGTCTCATGGTCAGGACCCTCCTTGCCTGCGGCTGGCACAGACTTCTTCCTGCCTCAGAGGAGCGTGCCCGCGGAAGCTCTTAGCAGATGTCTCTTTTTTGAACTACTTCATAAGAGGGTAATTTATGAAGTTAGTGCAATTTTACTTGTATTAAGTAACAGATTGGATAACGTTAAACTCTGGGTCTAATAAATTCAATTGCATTCTCTCGGAAACTACTCCCCGTGGTAAACAAAGCCAGCTGTTAGTAGCGCAAAACCAGAAGATGTGTATTTTTTCCCTTTTTGTAATAAAGGAAAAGATTTAAGAGTACAATTTTCTTGTCAGTGGATTCGCATGCTATTTATAGTCTACATAGAGGGCATTCACTTTGCTTGCAATAAAAGCCCAAAAGAAGTATTTTTCGAGAGAGTCGCCAACCCACCAGCCCAAATTACGGAATATCACAGTAAAAGTTGTATTTCCAAAGGGAGAAGAGTGGCGCACACTCCGCTGAGGTGTGGATTCACTCCCTGGCAACTTTGGGTGACTTACTGCGCCTGTCCTTAAAATGCTTCTGTTTTTTTTTTTTTTTTTTTTTTTTTGTTATTTTCCAGAAATCTCTTGCCGAGGGGAACGGATAAGAGATTACTTCCAAAAGCAGCAAGGCTATGCCGCGTGCCAAACCAGCAAGAAGGTCTCCCGCTTGGAATGTAAAGGCGGGTGCACCGGAGGGCAGTGCTGCGGGCCACTGCGGAGCAAGCGGCGGAAATACTCTTTCGAGTGCACTGACGGGTCTTCGTTTGTGGACGAGGTTGAAAAGGTGGTGAAATGCGGCTGCACGAGGTGCGCGTCCTAAGAGCTTGTCTGCAGCTGCTCCAGCTCGGGCAGAGGTTGTACAAGCTACTTCTTGACCAGGTTGGACTAATTCATGCTTCATAGTGGAAATATTTGAAATATATTGTAAAATACAAAACAGACTTATTTTTATTATGAGAATAAAGACTTTTTTCTGCAGTTGAAAAAAAATAGTAATAAAATAAAAGACATGCTTGAGCTGAAGCGTCTCCTGTGCTGGAGAAGTGTGAAGCAAGCGATCCCTGCAAGCATCCGAGCCGGGCGGGGCGCGCTGCGACGGGATGCGCCCTTGGAAGGCGCTGAAGGGCGGAGCAGCACACTCGGTGCCTGAAAGGCTGGTGAGCGACCCACCGCGCCCTGAGGTGAAATCGCCGGAGCAGCAGACCCGCGTCCCTGGCCTCGCGCTGCCCACGCAGCTCGCGAGGACGCTGCGAGCACGCGCGTGTGGATGAGTCTGCCGGACCAAGGAACGGAACCCGCGAACGCGCAGAGAAAGGAAGCGGATGGGCAAGGACTTGTGCAAACCCTAGTCCCCCAAGACCCGCGCTCTCTTCTTCGGAGGAAATGGGAGCGGCGCGCTAGGATATGTTTTACCTGCTTTTTAAATGTCAGCATGTCAGCAGAAGCAGCACACGAAAGTGATCCTCTACCATTTTCCAGTATTAATTTTTTTTGTAATATAAATGATAAAGGAGATGATAAAGAACCAATAGATTATTGATAAAGAAATTAGTAATAATATGAATTTTTTGTTTCTATAAGTTCTAAACAGCCCTATACAGTATTCACTTTCGACGAGGAATATTTATTGTATCAAAGTACATTGTACTTAACGTTTTAGACCATTCTTTTGCTGTTTCTCGATGCTTTAATATATATTAATTTATAATTGTCCTGATATTTTTGTACATTTTTCAAACTTAAAAAATAAAATCAGGATTTTTTTTTTTTTTTTTTTTTTTGGCAATAGTACTAACATAGGCTGTTATCTCCGGATAAATATATGTTGGTCTGTTTGTTGGCCTTGATAGGTGACCACTGTGCCACTGCCCAGTGGCAGTCACATTCAGGACACCTGCGGAGTGTGTGGGACGTCCAGGAGTAGGAAAGGCACCTCTGCGGGCGGACTGTCCTCACATGGACAGCAGCCCTTCCGCAAATTGTCCCCACAGCAGAGAAGTGGTGTGTAGCCACCAGCGCTAGGAGTAGATCTTTCACAAATTAATATTTTCATGGATTCTGCCATTCTCTTGTGGAGGTGGGAGGAAAGAGACCATGTCAAAAATTACAAGGTTTTCCCAAACAATGAAACTTCTTTATTACCTAAATGTTCCTATAGTAACATAATTGCTGCTAAATTACAATGTAGAATGGATAATGATTTATAGTGGACTGTGCTTTACCCTTATTGAATTACCAGAGTGCCCTGTAAAGATACAGATGTTTTTCCCCTTCTCCCCCAAAAGAAATTTTTTTACAAAGAAAATTAGATGTACATGTATAATTCAGTGTGCTTTGTCTTTCTCCAGACTGATATCAGTTACACTACTGATGTTTGTAAATTAAACAGATATTTACTTCATTAACAGCCTGTTGGTTTTCTTAGAAATCATGCACTAAACTCTTCCTTAAGAATTTGTCAATCAGTATGATGCAGAGGGGTCAGGGAGATAGCTCAATGGAATATGCGCTTGCCTGGCAAGTGCAAGACCCTGAGTTCAATCCCCAGTACCATAAAACACAGAGAGAGAGAGAGAGAGAGAGAGAGAGAGAGAGAGAGAGAGAGAGAGAGAACCAAGAAGACAACTTATACCTTATCACCAGGTATCAGTTTGAAATAAAGTGTCACTTCTGGGGATTTTTAAATAGCTACATAACAGATATACCTTGGTAGGAAACACAATAGATATTCAATTTCTCTCTCTCTCTCTCTCTCTCTCTCTCTCACACACACACACACACACA